TGTGTGTGGGGCTGTCAATTTATTTTACTTTCTTTCGCAAACGAAAAAACACACACACGAACAAACACACACACACACACATAAATATATGTTAACTACCACACAGACACCACCACACCAGTTCTTGATAATGACTGCGAAAGTCGAAAGTACTTGAACAAAAATAACAAAATATGAACTTTGGACAGTTTATCAACAACTTCTCCGAAAATTTGAAAAAGTAAATTAAAAAATTAAACAGAAAGTCCTTGTCGGTTCAATTTAATCAAGCTTGTTTGAATGAATACTTGATGTCTAAATATACCTTACACACACACACACACACACACACACACACACACACACACACACACACATATATATATATATATATATATATATATATGAGATAACGATATATATTTTTATAGAAAAAGAACAGTATTGAGGAAATGGTAAGATGAAATTGAAAAAGTTTATTTATTTCAAACTTTAAGACTTCATCGGACTGCATTTATTGCCGCTGTTGTTTGTGACTAAACGTGCGCATGAACGAGAGACGCTGGTAGTTTCAAAATGTTTTGAAAAAAAGTTTAAAAACTTTTTGCAATCCCGCCAAATTCATCTATGTTATTTTTCGTTTCCTTTCCACCATGTTTTTAAATATTTCACACTAGCAGCATGGCCCGGCGTTGCCCGGGCTTGATTCAAAAATCGTATTTGCCCTTCCTTGTCTTTAAAGGAGTGCCCTTTGCCGTGCTGATGTTGCTACATGCCTTACTTCTTGCCTATCTCACACTGCGAATTTTTTCTAATCTCTATACTAAACATTAAATCTGTTACGAAAAAAGAACTAAGCAAAATGAACACAAAACGATCAGCTTTAAAAAAAGGATTCGTAACTGGAAAAACCGAATGAAAAAAGAATGTTAACAACAAATACTTTTTCACACCCAACCCAGTTCTGCGGAATCAGAATCAACGTTGAGTTTAAGCAAGCGAATGAGCCAATTGGAGTAAAGGGCCATGCAGATTTAAATTTTTCCCACTTGTGACGAATGCAGCTACCGATTTTTTTTGAATGCTAGCATGCTAGTTAATATTCGTGTCAGTCAGCTGTTGGCTCTCACGCTGGCCAATAGAATGTTCCTGCCTATTCGTGACAGCCAGCTATAGGCTCTCGCTCTGGCCAGTAGAAAATGGCCGCAAACTACATGAAAACTGCCGTAGACACATGAAAAAATCGATTATTTCCACTATCGATGAGAGTTGGGAAATGCAAAGACAGTCTTGGCCTTCCCGCTAACTTTGAGCATGTGCATGTAAATTTTGGTGCAAATCCGTCTAAAATTGCGGCCGTGCATTCGTCACACACACACACACACACACACACACACACACACACACACACACACACACACACACACACACCCTGCCTTTTATAGATAGAGATTGTGGTAAAAGAAAATCTGCCAAGTATGGTGATACGCTGTAAGAACCTGGACGTAAATTTACTGTGGATGAATTAGCGGTTTAAGCACTTTCTCGTAAATGAAGAACAATATAAAAAGACAAACATTAATAAGAAGTACAAAGTATAGGAAGTTGTGAAGAGCCATCATCACCAAGTTCCCGAAGGGACACAGCTCGTAGTTAATGAAAATACAAATATATTTCCTTTTCATGCAAGAGTTGTTTTCAGTTTTATTTGAGATAAGAATTATAACATTTCGTTTTAAACTGAAACATTACATCTTTTTTCGCCAATCTTCTGTTTTAATCAAAACCAGGAAATGCGTCTGCGCATGCGTCTGCGCATGCGTCTGCGCATGCGTCTGCGCATGCGTCAAATCTCCTCACTGCTGTTTACAAGCGACAAGCCATGATAAGGTTAGCCACAAAGTTTATTCACAACAGCGAAGGCGCTGAAAAGCATTTTAAAGTACTTAGTCATAATTCAAACGACCTAAAGTAGTAAATAAATACGCCTGCAGTGGTAGAGGTGCCCATTATCCTCGGTACCGTCAATGAAATTTTATCCCAAATCGCTCTTCTTTGATTGGATGTTGCTAAGATGATGCTTTTCGGCAATGTGTCTCAATTGACACTTTGCAAAAATAAAATAAATAAATAAAAAGACTTTGCGGCCTCATTTTCGTTATTACTGCAAGCCAGGTCAGCGACATCAGATGAAGTCATTACAATCGCGTTATCTTTTCTCACGGTAATAAAAAAACGTTTGGGTTTTTTTTTTTAACAAATAAACAAAAATCCTCTTTCGCTCTCCACTTTTTCGTCATGTTTTCAAACAAACTCAGAAATATTATATATATATATATATATATATATATATATATATATATATATATATATATATATATATATATATATATATCTATATGTAATAATATATATATATATATATATATATATATATATTAATTTTATATTTTAGGCTCTACTTTTTTTATTGACCACTGTATTTTACAAATAAAAACAAAAATACTAAAGAACTTCTGATTTGTTCTTTTCTATTTTTCTAAATATTTGCACACACACATACACACACACACACATACATACATACATATATATATATATATATATATATATATATATATATATATATATATATATATATATATATATATATATATATATTCATACACGTTTCATTAAATAATAGAGACAAGTGTTGTCTATTTTATGTAATT